ATTTAATCACTTAAGTAATTTCCTTTAGACTGATCTGAGGTAGCTTGGATTCTGTTGAACCAGCACCAGAAACATCGCAAAGTTTTAAGCTCTTGCTTTTAAAATTATGATTTCTGTAGAACTTGCAGTCGGCCTTTGGAAAAAATTCGAAAACAGGGATGGGCTTGGAGTTCAGTTATGACGTCAAAGGTGGTGTGAGCCAGCCTCTTTCAGCGAGAAACACAATGCATGCTTCCTGTAAGCACAAGAACATAATATTATCTTTCCATTTTTTCTGTACAGTATTTCTTTTAAAAATACAACTGTTGTGATAAGATCAGGGCCAACAGATGACGAAATGCGAGTTGGAACTCTGCTTGGTGCCCAGAACAAACCCATCAGCTCTGAAGGGGGAGAACGTTATAGAGGATGCCGGCTTTCATGAGGAACATCTCGTTCTAGAGCCACTTCGCTGGTACGTCCCATTTGATTTAATGAATCTGTTTGTGGCAAAATGCTAAATGCATATTACAGAAATTGAAATTTGATGCTACGTGACCCTGTAAGATTCTCAGTTAAAATCCCAGTTAGGGTAAGAGACAAAGTCTGTTCTTAACACAGTTGGACAGCTTTCCCTCGAGGGGCACCAGAATGATTTCCCATGATGCAATGGACTCCATGATCAGTAGTAAAGGTGCCACGCAACATTCGATGGGGGACACTTCATGTTTTGCCACTTATCACACTATCCTAAGTTCTCTAGGCGAACTGTATCTATTCGATTTTCTACAGAATTTATTTAGATATCATGTCACTGTTTCCTCAACAATTCAGAGTAAGCAATAGCTACCAGAAACTACTGACTAGTTCACTCACTCATTTATTCCTTTATTTATTCATTTAAATAAAAATGTATTGCATACCTACTATGCTCACTTGTTTTATAAATTTTATGGAGCATTTACCATGTGCCGCACGCTGGACATGAAAAAATATATACATAAGGCTGGACCTGCCTCCAATTTATATAGTCTCATTGGGCCAAATCATGAGTATTGTTAAGACATTTATTACAATAGAAGAAGGTAGAAGTTTTAATTTAAAATAATGGTAACTACTATTTATTTAGAGTTTACTTTGTATGAGGCATTGAGAAAAACACTTCAGCTCATTTTAATATATTATCTAATTTAATTCTCATAAAAAACCCAAAGGGGTAGGTATTAACTCCAATTTGTAGACTACAAAACAGGTTTAAAGAGATTGATTACCATCTTTCATCACTAAGTGACCACTAAACACCCTACATTTTGCCACTTTTGCCAGTGAAAATGTTTTGGGCTTAGAGTAGAATAATTGGACAAAAGTGTTTTAAATAAAAGTATTTTCAATGAAGTCACATAATAAGAAGCCCAGAGGCAAACGATTCCAAGGCTGGTTACATTTTCAGCTTAACCATAGCAGGGTTCTGTCTGTCTGCCTCTCCACGGTTCTCTTGACTGTCACCTCTGGACCACAAGATGACCAGGACAGCTCCAGACATCACACCTTTCCATGACACAATCCAGGAAAGGCAGGCATAGAGCGCTTGTTCTGGTTTCTGTCTTTTAATCAAGAAGAACAATCTGTTAAATAAACTCTATGTCAGACTCATCCTTACATTTCATTGGTAAAACCTGGGTCACATGCCCACCCCTAATCGAGAAAGGGGTTCCGGTTACAATGACTGGGAAGATCATCAATTATGAGCCATCCCTCGAAGTTGGGAATGATTTTGCTATTTACCTGAATAAAGTCAGTTTTTGCTTATCAAGGGGTAAGGGGGCAACCAATAGGCTCTCCTCCCCATACTAAAGTATCTTACGATCCAGAATTTCCCAGCTGGCCACAAGACACATTATCCTCCATAAGACTTTAACCCAGACAGAAATTCTGAATGAACCATCAACCTAAAAATGTGGGACTGGGGAGTGATAAAACTACAGGACATCTCGGTAGATTTTTTGTGCCTTGTGAACAATATGTAAGTGGGCTGACACCAATTTTAACCTGTGAGTGGGGCCAGCCATTGAAGAAAAGAATACATTGCATTAAACCATAAAACACAATGAGGAAATTCTATTTTTGTTTCAACACAATTTACACCATTGAAACAAAGATTTATAAGTCAAATCTCTTTCAACACTTTTCTTTTTAAAATCTATTAGGAGTAGTTAGTCTTATCAATTCAGATTTCTTGACTGACACAGAACTTATAACAAAATCTTTTCAACACATATTTTTAAGTTCTTAAATGTGTTGAAAGTTAGGCTTCTCGGTTAAGACAGCAGACTGAAGGAACGCCTATTTAAGCCCCTTCTTCTGGACTCCCACTAAAACGGAAATGAAGCAAACTTTAAAATAAATAACCCCATGAGGAAGGAGGAAAAGGGGAGAAATACAAAATATTGGAACCTGGAACGCAAACACATGACAGGTAACTGATTTAGCAGGCTCAGGAGAGTGGGTCCTAGACTGCAAATAGGGAAGCTAAGAACCAAGCCAACGTACTTGTACACCACAGAATGCTCAAAAGCATTGTATTATTAGTGGAAATAACTTCCAGATTCCCCGCTCTACTCTCCACCCCTCACAAGTGCTCCTGTGCTGAGGACCGAGGTTGATTTCGGGAGACACCAGGCAGCACAGCTGCAGCTCTGGGTGCCGTGTGAAAACAAGAGACTGAGATGCACTTCCGAGTATAAGTGCATGCTGGTTACTGAACGCTGAGACGGCCCTCTCCAATGCCAGTCCCCAGCTCAGTTCCCAGGCTCCAGCAGCTGGAGCTCAGTCCTTTGGGAATAAGGTTAGAAGGCTTCTCTGGGGAACCTGACCAACCCGAGACGCAACATCTACAGATTTGGACTTCGGGGTTTCTCTAATACCCGGCCCACCCAGATGATCAGGTGGTCAATCTGAAAGTCCGTAAGCCTCGTGCATACCTTCAGAGTTCCCTGTCAACATTTTTGGTCCCTTAGTATCAATTATGAGCAGATGGTTAAGAATTGACAAGACATCTAATCTAATATGGAGGATAGAAATAGAAGTGGATGTACTGCATCCGCAAGCCAAAACAATCACGTCATTAAAAAGTAACACAAACGGGACCTCGGAAATTAAAAACATGATGATTAAAATGAGGGAAGGGAGAAGCATGAGGAAACCTCCAGACAGTACGAGTAAAAGTAAACAAACAAATAAAGATTAAAAATAGGAGCGAAATGATAAAATCAGACAACCAGTCCAGGAGGTCCAACACCCAAGTTAAAAACAGTCATCCTTACCGATAAGCAAAGAAATGCAAAACATATACATGAGCTATTAGTTTGGCAAAATTCAGATAATTTGTTATTTCCAACGTAGCTAAAGTTATAGAGGAGGAAAGACATGTGTGTGCACAGTAGTGGCGAGAGCTGCGTGGGCAGGTAAAGTCTTCCTGGGAGGTGATTAGGCAGTATCTCAAAATTCACACTTTGCACAATGTCGCTGCTGAAAATCTACCTCTCTGCAAAATAATCACTGATATCCAAGTGCAGGGTTAGATGCACGATGCTGCTGATGGTAGCATTGTTTTCCATAGGGATAAACAAAACACTGCAGCATACTAAGCAGCCACTAGAAAGAATAGAGCATAGCTGGGTATAATGACGTGGAAAGCTCTCCAAATACGGAGGTAAGTGAGGAAAACCAACAAGTCAGGGAATAATGTCTATATTATGATACAGGCTGGCAGGCTGGGAAATAGTTTCAAAGTGTTGCAAATGAGATGGTTCTATTTATTTTAAAACTAGAATGTGTGTGTAAGAGTACACGTATGCCCAGCTTTACAGAAACAGAACTGTAGGTTTATATACCACACTTTTACCAATTTACATCTGAATAGCACAAGGCTTCCTAAGGCCATGCGTACTCATGTTGTTATAGACATTTACGTATAGCTGGGTCTTTTATAATAAGAGTATATTACCTTCTTAATAAATTTATATTAAACAATAATAATAAGATTGAGGGTTCACCTTACTGAATTCATTTCCCAAGGGCCTTGGATCTATGTTCCTCGAATCCTCCTTCACGATTCTCATAATGGGTCAGGCTCTGGAGTCACTGGGTTAGGAGAACTGTCTCAATAATATAAATGAGAAATGAGTGTTGTCCAGTCAGTAAAAGTGAAAAGAAACGGGGAGATGGGACAGATCCTTATGTATTTTACAGAAATGGAAACGTGCTCAGTACCACAGTCGTTAGGGAAATATTAATTCCATGCCTGCATTAATAATACACATCTCCAAACCCCGGTCCTCTAAAACTCTAAGCTAAGCGGATGGATTTTTTAGATTGTGTGATTCTGGGGGGTGCTACTGTAGGGAAGCCATTCGCTCAGCCCTCTGTCACACATACGTTATCCACACAGCTGCACAGGTCACAGTTCAGCCAACTGAAGACACTGTAAAGCTGTTCTTTTAAGGCACCTCTGAATTTGCAGAAAGGGTCACAAAGGAAACGAACCTCAAAACTCATGCTTCTCAAGTCACTTTTAGGTTGAGAAAGCACCGTTAGAGGGGAAAAGCTAACAAGACAAATAGGGCTATTCAGCACCAAAAGAAAGACTCGGGAAAGATGAGGAGAAAGCTTTTTTTATTTTGAGCCATCAACTTTCATTACAAGACCCCCAGAAATCAGAAGAAAAGGGAGGGGGTGCAGAAAAAAAACAAAACGGAAGAGTAGAACAAACATCATCAATGTATCAAGCAACGCAAAACCAAGGCGTCAGCTTTTGGCCAAACGAAACAATTACACACAACAATTTCTGTGTGATTTTTAAAGCTAGGTCCTGTCCTGGGCACTTTTTAAGTACATAACATCTCCTTCAACAAAAAAAGTTACCATAGGCATTTTCATCATTCACTCTTCATCATGGGCTTAATCTTTATTTGGAATAGGCATGATTTTAGGCAGCTACTTTTTGGTTAACAGTTTCTGCTTCTGCTTTCTGTTCATCAGACCCATCAGGGATGCAAATATTAAACAGCAACTGTAAGTAGCATGTCATCTTCTCAAACCCAACCAACTTCAATTTAAAATACACAAAAGGTACATAAAACAGAAGTCCGCTAAGAATAGAGACACACATAGATGTAATACATGTGCGGGGACTTCACCAAAGGTACCAAAACCAAGCACAGGCTGACTGCCATCGCTACCAGTGGAAATGGCAAAGACACCTGGAAAAAGCTATATTAAAAAAAAATTAGATATGAAAAGCCATATAAGGTACCTGCATATTTATACAAACAAAAAATAAGATTTAAGCTAATAATAGAAAATGGGATACTTATGTATGTGTTTAGGTAAATCTGGTTTGGTTAGGATGTTGAAAGAGAGGTTAACCAGTCAGTCAAGATGAAAAGATGGCATTGGTCGGTGATCAAATTAGGTACATGTTTCAGAACAGGGGATGTTATCACACTAAGTATTATAAACAAAGTAATCCCTGGTCAAAAGACACATGATGATCTGTCTGACCACCCAGAGCACTGTCCTTCTCTCTATTCAGCCTGACAAAACCTAAGCGATTTTTATATTGAGTAGAATCTCCCCAATAAAAATGAAAATTAAAACTCTGACCAGATTACCTGTATGTGTTTCACAATTTGTTACCAGTAAAAACATTGACTCATCGATATTCTGAGTAGAGTCTTCAAACAGGGTTCCACTCAATACATGTTATTTCACACAGAAAAAAACAATCAGAGAACTCGCTTTTACCTTATAAGGTCTAGGCAGATTGGGCTCCTGGTAGCTGAGTTTTAGTATTGCTGTCATTGATAATACAGACCAAATCGAAACTACAAAATAAAGATAGTTTTATGAAGTCAGTTAGGTGTGTCGAGACAACCACAATAGAAGCCATGGTGACAAGCAGTAGCACAGACATGAATGGAGACGAGTGACTATTAAACAAAGGCAGCTGGCCCTCTTGGCCAGCAATATATGTGACTCTTGATGACTGAAATACATTAATCAGAATGTTGCTAAATAACGAGGCAGAAATACCAAAAGGAATGACCCACGTTAACGAGGGGAGAACTCTGTTAGCCCCTGTGAAAGCCACAGCATCTGCAGAAAAACAGAACACACAAAAGCAATGTATGAAAAAAAAAGCGGAACTAATTGATAAACCTTTAGAAATTACTTCTAAGTGAATGCGGGAAACTTAAGAAGTAATTAGGAAAACTGAATGTTGTTTAATTTCACCGTTTGTATCTTTATTTCACATGCACATAACACCATATGCAACGCGTGTCCATTTTAGCCCCGTCACACTGTTATTATCATAAACGGTTATCATCTTATCTGTCTTCCTCACTAGACCGGGAACTTCACTTTGTAAGAGGGGGAAATCACTCATTTCTTTTCAATAAAGTTGATACTTCACTCAATGACAGACGTAGTGTAAGTTTTCAACTACCCTGTGAAATGAGTGGATTTCGTGGAATGGATGACTGAATGCACACTTATTTTCTAAAACTAGTTCACTGAGTGCTGACAGTCACAGCCAGAGCCCAAAAAGCACAGCGCAATGCTGCTGACATGGAAACGAGGCTGACAGAGGCCCCAGATCCTGGGGCAATTTGAAATACTTAACAGAAATAAAAACGAACCATGTAGACAGAGAAAACACATTACACGCCAGGTAAAATACTTCTGACATGTGGGCACTCGTCTGAACTACAGAGCAGGTTCTCGGCTGGAGGTGCCTGCTCCTCAGGGGTCACTAGGCAGTGCCTGGAGACGTTTTTTGGTGGTCACACCTGGGGAGGTCGGAGGTTACTCCTGGTACCTGGTGGGTGGAGGTTAAGGATGCTGCTGAACATCCCACAATGCACTGGGCCGCCCGCCAGCAAACTACTGTCTAATGCTGAGATTGAGACATCCTACTATGGACCGACATTTAGAGGATTTTCTTATTCTGTTACTTAGCGTGAAGAGACCTTCTGAACACTAGGTCACAATAAGTCAGTCGATCTAAAAGGCACCAACCGAGAAAAGCACCCATTGCTTATAAGAATTGATTCGGGCCCAATTCTTAGTAGTAGCCCTAAGCAGGACAGAGCATTCAGACACACAGGAGTCAGTCTTCCAGGGGAATGGCTACAGCGAGATCTAGCATCCCGGGGGCTCGGTGTCCCTGGGGTGGTGCTTTGGTGTCAAGGCTGGTTTCCAGGGGGGCCTCCAGGACATCAGTGTCATGGCTTATAACAAATAGTAAAACTTTTTCAGTGTGACAAAATTAAAATGCTCATAAAAATCTTTACTTTTGAACCCTTTTTCAATCGCTTCGAGTGCCATTTTTTCACTTTGCCCTTTAGGGCGAGGTCTACAGCTGGGTCTTGTTTTGAACTGTCTCCTGTCTTACTTACTGTGCATTTCAAATAAGGTAAAAGTGGTTGTTCCTCCTGGAAACCCACCCCTTCACACACTCCCCACTTTCAGACACATTCCAGAAACACCTCTTTCCAGCAGTGAACCCTGTTCTCCTTTGATTTCCTGTCATGGATTCTACAAACCTCGTTGGTTATAAGTAGAGGAGGTGCGAGCTCAGCTCTGCTCTGTAATCTGTCTCTCTGTCCCACAAGTGACTTTTTCATTCCTTTCCTCATGTCATTTATTTTCTTTTAGAAATGATGTTATATCTGCTTTTGGTAAAAAGGTAAAATAAACAGCACGGAAACACACGAAGTAAAAAGTAAATGTCCCCCTCCTCGCCGACCCCTCATTCACACACCCCAGGTGTAAGTACTGTTATCATCTTTTTGGATATTCTTCCAGGAATTGTCTAGGCACATATGAGCATCTGTGAGGGATATGCATGTGTGTCCATGTGTGTGCGTGCACACTTAGGTTTGCCTTTTTCACTTTCCAATATACCTTGATCATATTAGCACATATGCATCCATCTAATTATTTTAAAGGATTCTCAGCATTCCATTAGATAACTATAAATTCAATTATTTACCAGGTGTGAGTTGGTGGATTTCTGGGTTGTATTCACGCTCTTGATAATACAGAAGGTGCTTTAACAAACACACTTATGCCTCCCGGTGCGGTAGCTGTGCAATTCTCCTCCTAGGGTACATTCTTAGCAGTGGCGCTTGTAGGTCAAAGGCCTACACATTTTTTAAACGTGAGATATCACAAAGTGACCCTCCAGCCATGATTGTACCAAGTGAGCAGTAAGTGAGCCTAACATCTCACTGTCCTCTGGAAATTCCCTACGACACCTGCCTGGCCAGCGACCTGCAGGCGGCTTCCGGTCAGGGAGAACCCCTAGCCTCTGCGCCCACAACTTACTTCCTGTCTTAGACAATCTTTTCCTATGCCAACATTCCTCTAGTTTTAATGAGAACATAGAACCCTCAACACCATCCAAAGGGAGCCCCTGTGGGCAGTGAGTTCCCAGGTCAGCAGGGACACTGAAATCGTCAGGCTGAAAAAACCAGGACCAGGTCCCTCACCGTGACATGTCCACACACCTCACTCCCGAGGGACACTGACCCCCCCCCCATCGCTGTAGAACTTATTCCAAATGTAGGCTACTTTTTCTTTTCTCAACAACCAGTGAAGAAATAGGTCAGAGCAGTGACAGTGACACAAACTGAAACCTACGTGACTAATGTCACTGGTCCTTTTTCTATGTCAGCCACAGAGTCTAATATGTGTTATAGGCGAGTATAACTTTTTTCAACATCCATCAAAAAAAAGAAAAATGCAGCGTTCTGTTCACACTGCATCCTAGATGCTCTTTGTTCCTTAGGAACTTTTCAGGTCTTTTAAATATTCCCATTTGATGGAAAATGTTCACCCCTTAGTGCTTAAAATGCCTTATTTTAGAAATCCAATTCTATTGCTGATAATTTTCCCTTCTTATATAAATCATGCAGTTCATTAAAGAAAATTTGGAAAATTCAGTAAAGAATAAAGCAAAATCACCCACAATGTCATTCCAGCAGCTCCCCACTCTTATCTACTTTCTGTTTTATTATCATAACACAGATGCAGCCTTTTTGCTCATTATTACATCATAAACACGGTCCCTTTACTTTAAGTATTCATCAACAATATGATCTTTGGAGAAGCTCAGAATGGTCTATTATATGGATTTCCATAAAGCATTTATGCAATCCAACTTTGTTGGGTATTTTGGTGATCTTTAATTTTTTTGTTCTTCTATATAATGCTATGATGGTCATCCCTATATATACATTTTCCATGTATGGCTCTGATTTTCTTAGTTTAAATTCCTAATGCCATAAAAGGTAGATCTGTGGATTAAAAATAATATTTCAGAATTTAAACAAGGTCTAAGGATTATGCGCCCCAAAGAGTAAGCACTGTAAACGAAATTGCAAGCCATTATAGTCAAAACACCTCATGGGTGTTCTACAAAACAATGGTGCCACCCACAGAACTGCTGCAACCCTTGTGACCCGCCGGAGGACATCTTCACAGTTTTGTAACCACCAGTATAGCCAGGACATTGGCAGTCCTAACAGATGCCCGCTTCAGTGAACTGGACCAGCCGGGCTACTGACCAGCAGTCCTCACTATGCCCAGAATTAATTGTGAATTTTGTCTCTGCATCGCCAAAGGAGTTACTAGATCACTGCTTATTCTTATCCAATGTAGCATTTGGTTCACCCAGAATCTGGGTTTTATCTGGTTTCCAGGTCCCTAAGCCAGCAGGCCGTTAGGATGCTATCACTAGTCCCAGGCTTAGCGCACTTCCAGCCCAGCAGTAACAGCAGTCCCGGCAAAGTGGCAGGACTTTTCGGGTGAGTGTCCCTTAGACTCACTGCCAGTGCCTCAAACACTTACCCAAACCGCAGGAGCCACCAAAGAGGTCGGTCAGTCCTAAAGGCACCATAGTTTATCTCAGAAGGTTTAACACTGGTCTGAGGAGTCTGCTATGTTCCCTGTTTCTCATTTCTTTCTAAATGTCGGCTGATTCCTTGAACCTATTATTCATTTTTAAATATGTTTATTTTTTTAAAAGATTTTCTTACTGTTTCATTCTTTATTCTACAATTAAGGCCCTAAAATAGTTATCACTGACTTATATTTTCAATATATTCATGGCCCTTTGCCACCATAAATTGTAGGGTTATTTATGGTAAACAATATTATATTACATATTAATAATACGAACTATAGGCATCAGCTGACCATTATCATCTATACTTTTCACTGCTAATATCCTACCTTTCAAATGTTATCATTCTCTCAGTCACCTAGGAGGGCATTTGGAAAATTGATGTTGTGAGAAAGTTGTGATGGATATAAACACTGATTACACAGCCTCACTCCAGTCCGTAGAGACCATGGAAGGGACCCCACACACCAGCATTATACGTGCTTCTCCACGTTACCAGCAAACACATTACTGTGCTCAAATATGAAACTCTTTTCTAAGCCAAATCCTACTCTTTGGCCCCTTCGTTATTTTCGAAAATTACAAGCTGACCATCTAAATATTGGGTTGTCGGAAAAGTCATGACGCATTTTTGTAACAAAAAACATAGAAAAAAATACGTCATGACTTTTCCGACAACCCAATAAAATAATGAAAAGCAAACAGCCGTCCCCACAGGAAAGTGATACTTAACGGTCCTAAAAGCCTTGGAGCTGTCCTGATGAGTCATTTGCATACACACCTGAGGACAGAATTTCCCTGGGGGTCAGCAAAGTCAGGTAGGAAATGTTAACCAGTAGATAAACGGTAGTCAACCAGAAGCACCGCGGTAAATGTGCATTTTGGAATTGTCTTTCTGGGTTTCTTCACTTCCCCTATAACACACAAAAAGCAAAATCACAATTGGTAAAAATTACATCTTAAAGTTGTGTTTAAAATCACTTCCTGCATCAAGTGTTGGGCTGGATTCTTCCTAGCCACCCCGGCCACCATCACTGCACATACACACACACACACAGGGGGAATGTCTTCATTTTTCCCATTCGTAGTAAAATGACTGAAGAAGAACACAAGCACGAGCGTGAAAGCTGAGCCCGTGGGACCCCGTGTGGGGTGGAGCCCACCCGCGTGTGCAGCCTCCTCGGCTCAGGACGAGGCACTGGGTCTGGGCGTCACCGCAAAAGCCTGCAAAGCCTGACCACAAGAAGAGGCGCTACACAGTACCTCAACAGTCACAGAAATCAAAGGTAAAAGAGTGCCTGTGGTACGGGCTCACGTGAAAAGAGAGGCCATGCTGTGGGACTGCGTCACGGGACAGTGTGGGGGTCCCCTGTGCTCTCTGTGTTCCTCACGCCCCTGGTGCCACAGGGTCCGTTCTCTCCTTTCCTAGCTGCCTACTTAACCTTTGCTCTTCCTTCAGATCTCAGCACATCATAACTTCTGGAAAAACAGGAGAGGAAATTTGCTTTGGCTAGCAACTCGTTCTCATAGCACGAGTCAGTCACAAATCCTGTGTCCCTGTAGGCACGTTACCTCCCCTTTCTGTCAACATTAAGGCAAAAAAGAAAAGAGGGCATGACTTAGCATCATGTAGAATGGATTCTCCGGGGTCTTCTTATTATTCTCAAATACCTTCCATTTGCCACACCGTTTCCCCCAGTTTGGCCATGCTCTGAGAATGGCCCCTGACACACAATGAAATGTTAGAGCTTGGACATGCGCTGTCACCCTGTGCCCTGGCCACTGTCACAGAACCAGGAGCAGGCCTCTGACTCACGGGAAGCCAGTCATTGCCAGGACCTGGCACTTCTCTCAAGACTGAATCCAATGTCAACAAAACTGAGAGAATCATGAAAAAAGCAATGCAATAAGTGGCAAAAAGAAAAGAAAAAAAAGGCAAAAAAGCATCTGAGAACCCTAGCTGTGTAAGCGCTAGAGCTTTCCTAATTCCTCTTTTTCCTGAGAGTGGTTGCTCAGGTCTTCCTGACAAACACAGCATATTCTTCCAGCCTGTTCCCCTTTTGTTGTTTCAGCACATGGATATGGGTTTCTGTGACTTAAAGCCAGATCCCTCTGGCTGACGAATGCGTCAACTTTCTTCCATTTGCATGTGATGGACTGTCCAAGGCGCACCGACACCGATAGGAGCAGATTAAGCACTTGAAGAATAAAGAAAGGGAATGTGCTCATTGAAACGCTGCCTGTCGTGGGTTTCTGGACAATTTACTGACTGTTAAGGTTTCCATTTCCTCACCTGTATAGTGGGAGAAATGTAAAATACAGAGATAATAAAATTCCCATCAACTGCAGAGCACTTACTAAGTTATTAATGGCTATGGTTATTAAAGCTTTGAACAAGCGAAAGGACAACTTTTAGGATGAACTCCACTTTCCTTGGGCCATTTCCTCTTTCTCATTATATATTAGATTTATAGAGAGGAGGTAAGGAATATAACACAATGTAACATAATTGAAGGTTATAATGGTCTTGAATATTCTTGGTATTGAACTTAGAAAATGGAAGATCCTACAATACGCAAAGTCAGCTGCCTACACATCACCACCGTACAGGTAATGGTGGTGCTCAGAATTTAGCTGCATTTCAAATGCAGTAGGTAAATTAACAATCCCAGCACACCCTGAAATTCTCCCATTTCTGTTTACTGCCGGCTGCCTGGGAAGAAGCCTGCAATAGTTGATCACTGAGGAAACTTTGTACATCTACTTTCAGCAGAGAAAAAATGATCCAGCAACAAAACATCTCTGCCAAGGAACGAGGTGAAGTTGGCTCAAATAGAATGATACCTCATCTATCGTCCAAAGAATGAGAGACAACGTTGAGAGAGAGATCTCAAATCGCAGTGGCCCATTTAATCACAAACTGCACAAAAGAGGGACCTCCTCTCTCGCGGCTCCTTTTTCTCCATACCTCCCTTTTGAACTCAATGCAGACTGACGTTCCTCTGGTGCTCAGGGCTCACCAGTTACCCTTGACATAGTGAAATGGCTTCTGATAAGCATTTCCCCATTGCCAGTTACACCCTCGTTTTGGAACATGCGCTGATTGTCTTTCATAATTCTCTAAGCGTTCTCTGGTTTCTTCATGAGGTCTTCTCCACCTACCGCCTAGCAGCTGGCAACCTCCAGGCATCTGTCTCCAATCTTGCGCCATCCTGTCCTGCGTCTCTCGATGCGCGCGCCTCAGAAATCATGCGTATTACAAGCCCATCAAGTGAAAAGCATTGTGCAGTCACCTAAGGTTACCTGCCACATCTTAGGTGCACCTGCATGCTTCTGGTTTCCACAGCTTCACTTTTTATTTTCCTACTGCTATAATGTTTCGGATTCAATTAAAACCGCCACCTTTTCCCCTAGATGACACAGAAAAAAGATGATCTGACCCTCTTCTGAATTTCTATAGTAATGATATTATTCCCTCAGAGCCAACTATGAAATCCCATCAAACCATTATTTGTTTATAAGGCCCAGAATTATAGTGATTTTGAGCCATGATGCTCATTTTTTCAAACGAAGGAGGAAAAGAAAAAAATAAGCCCAGAGAGTAAAGGTACTTCCCACAGCTGGTGAGTAGCATGCAGGGTCAGACCAAAATCTAGGTATTGCCTCTTCTATTAGACAGTAAACTTCTCTAGGGTAAAGAGAACCTCTGACTCACCTTAGGGCAAGACGCAGGGTTTGAAAAAGGTATTTGCTGATCGAATTATTTAATGAATGGTAGACACATCAGCCCCCAAAAATTAAAGGAAAACTTGGTTCAAGAGTAGAGAGTCTATTTCATGTTTAAATGCCCAGGAAAAGAACTGGTAAAAAGGTTGAAGTTGAGCAAAATGAAATAAATGAATGTGAAAGGTCCCCTAGGAGGTGAGGGACAAAGGCTATGGATAGGGTTCAAGGGAAGAGCCTGGCTTTGAAAATGGAGAGAGAACGTTTGT